AGTTACGTGAATTATTTTATGAGTTACATAACGAAAGATTATAAATCAAGTAGTATAACTTATGGCTACGATCAGTTTAAACAACAGAGACATGAAAACCGGTTTACTTTTAATCCTTATACATTCTTGGAGTTGCATTAGACATGCAAAGAACACGAGTTAATGGAATAGAGTTAGGATTAGAACTTGCCTTTGAGATTTCGGTTCAAAAATCCCAACATCGTCTTCTAAGTTCTCCGGCGAACTACTGAAATTCTCCTCTGTTCCTTCTCTGCCTCCATTATCGTGAATAGGGTTCTAAAACCCTAGGCAGAACATATTACATATATTTATAGGCCACCCTTAAACCTAAGTCCAACCAAACCCTAAACTAAAACTAGGCCCATAAAACACAACCTAGTTTATAAACCTTGTTGGCTAAAAACATGACTTCTAAAAACACAAGAAAACCTAATTTAATAAATAACACATTTAACCTAATCCAATTATGATAACCATGCAATTAAAATAATTAATCAAATAACATTTAGCTAAAGCAAATAACCAATTAAAATAAAATGAAATCCAATGAAATACACAAATAAACAAAACAATTAAATAAAAATAACTAAATAACAGAATTAATCAAATAATCAATTAAAGCAAACAAAAGTCAAGTAAAACAACAACTAAATCAATTAAATTAATACATAAGCACTTCAGCAATTAAAAATGTAATTAAACAATAAAGTAAATACCAGGACAATCCTTTTGAAATTAGGGGTATTACACCTACATCCACGGGGAGAAAACAGAACAATATTTCATTATAGAAATAAAGAGATATAAGACAAAGTGGCTCACACCCAAAATCCAATTACATCCAAAATCTCTCACACACTAACTGATACTGATACAACAATTTTGAACTATCATATTTTTCATATATAATGTTCATATATACAACAATTAATTAATTAATTAATTACTGTATTTGATTGTTGCAATTTTGTAGGTTAACACACAGAAATCCTAGAAGGCATTTGTATGTTTGTGGAGCACCATCCTAGCATTAACAGGCAAAGAAAGGACTTTTGATTGTCATTTTTGTATACAAGAAGCTATATGTTGTAATAACAATTTCAATTGTGATGGAAAATGTTTTGTTGGTACATATCAAAATCTTTTTGCTCACATATGGATTATAATTTCATATCAACTCCTGAAATTTTTTATATAGAATGATCACATGTCATATTACAAATGACTTCCTAGCAATATCGATGGGTCACTTTTCATGGTGGTCTTGTCGGTGGGTGATCTTGACGAAGACTGATGAATATCTGGTGGTAAAGGCAGCAGCAATGGTTCAATGATGATTATAGTAGTGAGGACCAAACAATCTTCCCCCAATAATCCAACACAATACATTAGTTTAAAAGACATAAGATGTGCTCACTTCTCATAGTATAGCACTAGGATTTCCTTTCTAAGCCACCCTCTTCTTTTCCTTTTTTTTCCGTCAATTCAAACTAAAATGCTAGAGTGGAAAAAGGCATGTTCAATGTCCTCAACACTATATAATAAAGACCGTAAGACACAGCTCAAAAGTAAATTAATATCACGTGCCCCAAACAGACCGTGTCATTGGTAAGTTCACCCAATAAAATTTGTGGCACTTGTAAAAATTGCTAACAAGTTGATATGGGACTTTCTCATTGGTTGCATCTCTCTGACACACTAGATACCTTCTCGGGCATAACTATTCATCAGTACACATTTGAATCTACGTAATACACTATTAACACCAATAAATACATACAAGTTTTGCTCATGGAGTTCATTGAAGATGATCAATACTCAACTTTACACTCAAGAAGTAATCCCTACTAATCACAACTTTTCACTATAAAGAAAATTAGATTTACTTTTGAATACTAAAAAAATTGGAAAATTTTCAAACAGTTGTCCCTCCCTCTATATATTTTTTTAACTTTTTAAGTTACAAGAAATTCAAAAGGTGAATGAATTTTGGACATGCTAAATCCAGCTCTTCTCAGCTTTGAACTCCTCAGCTCAAAATTTGAGGTTACTTGAGATATGAGAACCCTTCTAATACCAACTTAGCCAAGGATAATTGAAGGTGTAGAATAAAAGTTAATAGTATAATAAAAGAGCACTACATGTGATGGAGTAAATTACACTTCTACTAAAATATCAATAAAGTACTGACTCATAATTTTTTCTTCTCACTCTCTTCTCAATTGTTTTTATTTTTTCAGATTATGATCACTGAACCAATATATCTACACTAGCTTCTCTTTTTGTTGCTTTAATTTATTTCATTAAGGGTAGGGAAAAACGTACATGTAAATTTCAATAGCTCTAATATTTTTAGACAATACATATGTTGGTGAACTGCAGCATGAGTTGTTTACCTTTCATATTATCTTTTTCTGCGTTGAAACTTTAGTAGGCGTTACTTGATGAAAATGGTCACGGGTCTTGTAGATCATGCCTAGACGGGCTATTTGTTCATCTATATTCACCTACTAATATAAGAATTAGTCTAATTATGTTTTTCCTTTATTTAGTCTATTACACATCACATTCAATGAATGCGCAACCAAAACCTTTTAATACCTCTATCCCTTAGCGACGAACACTGCCTGAAATTGCTACACTAGAAGAACAGAAGTGAATATTGAATCTTATAATTAAAACAACTTTGGATGATTTTGCGGCAGAGGAATAGTTTAGAGAGGGAGAATCGATGAATCCAGAGAATAGTCTAAAAATAGACAAATAATCGACCTTATCTGCAAGATAAAATCTGAAACAGATGGAAGAAACTGAAGGTGCGACGTTCAGCTTGTGTATGTGTAGAATTTTAACACCAGAACACTTGAGAAAAATAAGAAATTTATAATAAAGAAAGTGTGACTGAATTGAATTAAGTTTGACAGAAGAAGAATCAAATAATTGAAATTGATCAATTTCTCTTATCATTGATCTCTTATTTATATGTTAATAGAGAGTTTTTCTTGGGTCCGTTGTTGGCGGTTTTGGACGTCGGCATTCATGTCCCTTATTTCATGCGATTTTCTTTATGACAGGCGTTATGGGTCGTTGAATGCACTTGTCCTGGGCCATATTCTGGGCTATGTTCTTCCCCTTGGGCTGACTATGTTTGTGGTGCTTTTCTTGGTCGGCTTTTTAATTGCATTGGACACCAGGCTGGTTATTCAAATGATGGGCTATTCTTATTCAGCGGACGTGTGATGTGTTATGATTGGTGGAAAAATTTCATCAAGATCACCGGCAAGACCACCATAAAAAGTGACCCATCAGTATTGCTAGGAAGTCATTTGTAACATGACATGTGATCATTATAAATAAAATAAAAAAATTCAGGAGTCGATGTGAAATTATAATCCATATATGATTTTGGTACGTACCAATAAAACATTTTCCATCACAATTGATATTGTTATTACAACGGACAGATTTCTTGTATACAAAAATGACAATCAAAAGTATCCAAATGATCCTTTCTTTGCCTCTTAATGCTAGGATGGTGCTCCAAAAACATACAAATGTCTTCTAGGATTTCTCTGTGTTAACCTACAAAATTGCAACAATCAAATAAACAAATTAATTAATTGCTGAATATATGAACATTATATATGAAAAATATGATAGTTCAAAATGTTCTCCTTCACCTATGAAGAGAAATGATTATTGGGTGGGTCTACTCACCTTCACCTTGCTCCTCCATAATTAGATGGATACCCATTTTCTTCACCTTCTTTTCTTGTCTAGTGAAATGAATGCAACAGCTGTCATCTTCATCTTCACGTTCACCTATGTATTCAAATGATAAAGCCTGAATGTAACAGCTGTCATCATCACAAATATTGGGAGGGCCTGGACTGAGCTTTGGTCTCTTCTTCATCAAATTTTTAATTGGTTGTTTTTCTTTAGACAACTCATCATAATATTCAGTTACCTTCGTCAAAATAACGTGCTACAAATAACTCTCTCCGTCCTCCATCCAGTTCAAGCCATAACCATTGATTTTGAAATCAAATCCAAACTCAATTTTCTGAATTTCCAAAACAACACAGATTGCAATTCCTTTGACGCTATTGTAAGAAGATAGATGATCTACCACGAAAGAGAAAGAAGACCCCTCAACTTCACTCTTATACCTAAACCATTGCGGAATCTCACTTCCAGGAAAAATGATCCATCGAATTCCCTGTTCCATGCACGAACACAATAAAGATCCCCAAGTTTTGAATATATATATATATAGAGAGAGAGAGAGAGAGATAAAGAGAGGTAAAGTAATTAACCTGAAGTTGAGTTTGTGATGATATATTTGGCATGCTATCCATCTCTTCCATAACCAATTTGTGGCACTCAGTGAATCTTAATTCGCGATTGTTTGGACCAATTCCACTTGGTGGAATCCAATACCGTTCCAATGATTTGCAGCCATGTGCATTCACATAATTTAGAGATGACGGAAGTGAAGTTAACGTTCGGAGGCTTGTGCAATCTTCCAAATGAAGGCCTTCCAGACATTTGAGTTGAATGAGGCTTGTTGGTATGCTAGAGAAATTGCTTCCACTTAAATTTAAATAAGATAAAGTGCTCAAAGCGGAGAGCAGTTGCAAAAAATTAGTTGAAGCAGGAGGAGTTCTCTTTCGCACCAATGAAAATGGCACCAATGAATTTGGCGTTTTGGGAGACACTTTTTGTAAATCACTTAGCTGAAGGCTTCTAAGGTTACACAAGTGTACAATGGACGATGGTAACTGTTCTAAAACAGTTCCTTCCATGCAAAGGATTCTTAAATCCTTCATTCTAGAAAAAATGTTGCTTGGAACCCTTTTAAGCTTTCGGCAATTACCTACCCTTAAATACTGAAGCCCTTCAAGAAGCTCAATTGAGGAAGGCAAATCTTTTATTCCAGTTTTATCCAAATTAAGTTGCCGCAAACTATTCATACGCCCCTAAATCTTCGGAAGCTTCTCAAGTTTTAAGCATCCTGATAGATTCAAATATTCTAGCTTTTCCAACTTGATGCTTTTTGTGAGACTCCTCAGATTTTTACAATCCTGCAAATCCAATCTAACAAGCCTCTCGTGAACTCCAATTGACTTATGGACCTCAATTAGATTTTTACATCCTTCAAGATGTAATTCCTCGAGACATGGAAGACTAGACAAGTTAGGAGTTTTATACAAATTTAAGGAGTGATCGAGATCAAGGTATTTTAATGTCTCTAGAAACTAGAAAGGAAACAAGCAATAAAAGAATTCAATCAGTTTCAATAAAATCCGACAATACTACTCATATGTAAATAATTGTATGAATAAACTCTGATCGTACCTTGATACTTGTAGATATTTCTTTGATTCGATTGTGACAAAGGCGAAGTAGAACAAGATTGTTTTGATGGAAATTGGATGGCAAAAACTTTGCCTGGTAATCATCCCAATCAAGATAACATAATTCATTTGAAAGATACGTAAGTTGTCCACAAGGTCGTATGCCACTGACTTTAAGCAATTTAAGTTTCTTCATCTTCTCAAAGACATCGACATCTACATACAACTCCTCTGGTATATGTTCATCAGGCACGTTTAACATAATGCCTCTAATTGTTTCTGTCACCTAATTACCAAAAACTTTATGTAAGTTACCATGCAATGTTAAAACCTTAAAATTATCCAAGTTTAGAACTGTTTAGATGGAAAAAAGATAAAGAAATCTATTGTTTTTTTGCACAACATGAATATCAAAATTGCAAATAAACTTATATGGAGTTAGAACGTACCGTATTCTCTCTGAACACTTTATAGATATCTTCATAAAACCACAACCTACTTCGCTTGCCAGAATCATCAGGTGATTCTTGACGAACAATTTCCTTACCCATTTCTTGTAACAAATCATGCATGCACAGCTCGTTGTATGATGAGATAGTTATCAATGACTGTTCAATAAGAACTGGAATTCGTGGGTGAAACCCATTACTGCCCAATATATCCATTACATAATCTTTGTCATACCCTTTGAAGAAACAAGCAATGTCAAGGAATAAATCCTTCTCTGTGTCATTAAGGCCATCAAAACTTATCTTAAGAACATCATGAATTTGTTCATTAGGAATTCTTTTCAAACTATCCAGTTCCTCTTCCCACTCTTGAATACTTCTTTTAAATAAGAAAGAACCCAAAACTTGAAGAGCTAATGGAAGGCCTTGCGCATAATTTATCACACTTCGTGAGATTTCCAAATAATCCTCCAAGGGATGGTTGTTAGTGAAAGCATACCAACTAAAAAGTCGAAGAGCTTCATCATCATTCAACAACTCAACGTTGTACATTTCATCTGCTTTATGCTCCACCAATAAACGTTCATTTTTGGTTGTTACAATGAGCTTACTTCCAAAACCAAACCAATCATTTGCTCCAGCTAAACTTTCCAATTGCTTCAAACTATCCACATTGTCAAGAACTACCAAGACCTTCTTGTAACATAATCTTTTCTTTATCACATTGATCCCATAATGAACATTAGACATCTTTATATCTTCTTCCATTAGGGTGTCATTCAAGAGTTGTTGTTGCAAATTAGTTAGACCATTATGTCGTTCTGAAACTTCTTTCACATCACTAAGGAAACAACTACCTTCAAATTGATTAAATATTCGATTGAAGACAACTTTGGCTATGGTTGTCTTTCCTATTCCCCCAGTTCCACAAATTCCAACATTGCACACATCCTTTGACCCATTATTTAGCAAAGCGATCACTTTGTTGACACGAGAATCTATCCCCACTTCATACTCGGCAACATATAATGGTATATGTTCCAATTTTTTTATAATCTCTTGAACAATTTTTTGGATAAATTTCGCCTCATTCCTATGAAGTACAAAGGACATTAAAAAGAACTAGTGAGTCATAATTTTTTTTATATTTTATTTATGGGTAAATAATAAAAATAATCATAAATTACTCAATTCGCAAACTAAATTGATTGAAATAGACTAATGCATCTTAAAAATGTTGATAACTCATGACTTGATAACTCAAGTCATGGGGATGCACAAGTGGTTCTAGTAGCAAGGCAGCAAGCCTTTTGTGTTTATTTCTTGTGATGGTTCAACAATGCATCTATATATATATATATATATATATATAAACTGTTCAATCCAAAATCAAAATGAACTTTCGTTACCCAAATTGCAAATGTAATCATTTCTACTTTAATGAGATAAAGGACAAAATGATAAAAGAAATTGAGTTCTAGCAATTTGGGAAGAATTAATTTTCAATGCAATCCTCTAAAATTCACTTCAAACTACAATACAATTGATATAAGAATTGTATTCGAAATACACAAATAAATAAAATTTATTTTAATTATGGATAATTAATATTTATTTTTTCTTTTTCTTTTTGTGTTTGTTAGACAAGTCATGTTCAAACACAACTAGGAAAAAAAAAAAGTCATGTTCATACATGTCTATTATTTATGGACTTACATTTCATCACAGCAGCACTTAATTGTACTATGAACTAAATTAGCCAAAAAAAAAAAAAAAAATTGTAAAACTAAATTAGAATGGAATTCTGAAGTTTAACCCACCTATCAATTAAACTTGAAAACATATTTTTTCTTTTTTCCCCTTTTTGGTTAGAAACATCTAAAACTTAATAATAACTCTATTTTATAAATATTCAACTTTAATCATATTAGTTTGATTCTAATTTGGCATAAAAAGAAAAAAATAGAAAAATAAGGAGATACGCAATTGAGTGCGAATAATAAATCCACGACTAGCCTATATATTCATTTAAAGATTAAAACACTCACTTAAAATTTAAATATAGTGAACGAGATAATAGAATAATAATATCTTCTCTCCTTCCAAAGTGAGAGATTTGAGGCTTTAACTCCATAGAACAAAAATGCGTGTGTTTATTTATCAAGATATAAAATAATAATAACAATTAAAATTTAGTATAAGATATTGTGCAATTTTTCTCAATAAAAAAAGAATGCTATTGAAAATATAAATTGTGCTTCATGTTTGCTTCTAATTAAGTATTGCAACCAAAGTTGTTTAGTTAAACTAGTGCACATATTTCATACGGCAATATAGAAGAAGAATAAAATTTGTTGAGTTAGTTATTACCCATTTGCTACATCGTTCAAATCCCACCCTCTTAAATTTGCTGCCTCTACCAAAGCTGCCCTCCACTTTTGCACCTTTTCCATGTCGTCCTCTCCAAAATTTTCCTCATGTTTGGCAAATGCTTCTGCAAAACTTCCTTTTTGTTTCCGTACTTGTGACGGATCGACATTGTAGAAAATTGGCAAAATTGTTTGTCCCACTTTCTTCCTGCATTCAATGATCTCTACAAGTTCATCCAAACACCATGAGGAGGATGCATAGTTTTTCGAAAAAATGATTATTGCAAATTTCGATTCCTTAATTGCCTTGAAGAGCTCAGAAGGAATCGATTTTCCTCTCTGAAGTTTCTCATCATCTTTGAAGGTGTGAATTCCTTTCTGTTGCAGAGCCATATAGAGATGGTCCACTAATTTCTTGCAGGTATCTTTACCTCTAAAACTCAAGAAGACATCCTAATTCCATTGAGGCAACGAAGAAGAAGAAGAAGAAGGAAATGCATCCATTGAGGCTTGCTAATTTGTGAATGCAAAATTTTTCGATATGATTATGATACTTAGAAATGTCTCTCCCCCTCTATTCTATAATTGTTGGCTAAGAATCATATCCAAGCAATTTCGTTCCAAATTTTCTTGGTAAGAAGGAACTTTCTATGAAACTTTAATCTTTTTCTGGGTTATAGAAATGTGTGGAAGTTGATGGTAAATTTTCATGAACTTTATCGATCAAAGCATACCTTTTTAGCTATAATAATAATAATAACACTGTGAAAAAAGAGTAGGTGGGTCAAATTAGGCTGCTGAAGAATGATTTCCAAAGATTTAATTCCCCCCTTTTGAGAATTAAAATTTACGTCTTCCAAAAGCATTGTCCAATTTCACATGGGAATCATCTTTTGTGGGGTTCTTCAAAAGGTGTAGTTGGAAAGTGTGAATGAGAGTGTGTATGCAGTGCCAAAATGTGCAACTGGTTCGAATCTTTTATTCTAAATATACACAAATTTAAATCAAGGGTTATAAAATTCATATTAGTATTTTTTCTGGGTTATAAAATTCATATTAGTATTTTTTTTTTATTACTTATATACCTTACTAAATTATTTTTTGTATTACTTATTTACCTTACTAAAATTCATATTATATATCTTTTCGCTGGCAGAAGAAAGATTTCCAAAGATTTCAAAAAAGTTGTCCGGTTGAATGCAAAGAAAAATGTGCAAGTTGAAAGGAAAGAAAATGTGTGGACCTGCACTGAGTCCCAATTCAAACGCCACAAAATAGGACAATACTGATGTGTATAACATACCCATTGTTAATGTGGACTAATAATAAATGGATATGTAATATTTAATTATCAAATAAAAAATGATATGGTAGATATTCACTAACCAAATTAGAGATGGTGACACCATTTTTGATTTCATAATTAAAATAAGACGTGTTCATTTATTATTGGTCTACATCAGCAGTGAGTATATTGTAAATCCTCACTAATGAGGATCTAAGTATTGTTCAAATACAAATGACTTCTTAGCAATACTGATGGGTCACTTTTCATGGTGGTCTTGCCGGTGATCTTGACGAAGGGTGATGAATATCTGGTGGTAATGGCAGCAGCAATAGTGGTGAGGACGAAACATTCTTCCCCCAATAATCCAACACAATATACATTTGTTAAAAAGACATGAGATGTGCTGACTTCTCATAGTATAGCACTAGGATTTCCTTTCAAAGCCACCCTCTTCTTTTCCTTTCTTTTCCGTCAATTCAAACTAAAATGATAGAGTGGAAAAAGGCATGTTCAACGTCCTCGAAACTATATAATAAAGACTGTAACACGCAGTTCAATAGTAAATTAATATCAAATGCTCTGAACAGACCACGTCATTGGTAAGTTCACCTAATAAAATTTTAACAAGTTGATATGGGATGTTCTCTTTGGTTGCATCTTTCTGACACACTCAATGCCTTCTTAGACAGAACTACTCATTAGTATACATTTGAATCTACGTAATACACTATTAACATCAATAAATACATACAAGTTTTGCTCATGAAGTTCATTGAAGATGATCAATACTCAACTTTACACTCAAGGACTAATCCCTACTAATCACAACTTTTCACTATAAGGAATAGATTTACTTTTGAATAATAAAAAAAATGGAAAATTTTCAAACAGCTGTCCCTCCCTCTATATATTTTTTTAACTTTTTAATTTACAAGAAATTCAAAAGGTGAATGAATTTTGGACATGCTAAATCCAGCTCTTCTCAGCTTTGAACTCCTCACCTCAAAATTTGAGGTTAATTGAGATTTGAGAACCCTTCTAATACCAACTTAGCCAAGGATAATTGAAGGAGTAGAATAAACATGAAAGTTAATAGTAGAATAAAAGAGCACTACATGTGATGGAATGAATTACAATTCTACAAGCATATCAATAAAGTACTGACTCATATTTTTTCTTCTCACACTCTTCTCAATTGTTTTTATTTTTTCAGATTATGATCACTGAGCCAATATACGTACACTAGCTTCTCTTTTTGTTGCTTTAATTTTATTTCACTAAGGGTAGGGAAAAACATACATGTAAATTTCAATAGCTCTAATATTTTTAGACAATACATATGTTGGTGAATTGCAGCATGAGTTGTTTACCTTTCATATTATCTTTTTCTGTGTTGAAACTTTAGTAGGCGTTACTTGATGAAAATGCTCACGGGTCTTGTAGATCATGCCTAGACGGGCTGTTTGTTCATCTATATTCAGCTACTAATATAAGAATTAGTCTAATTATGTTTTTTCTTTTATTTAGTCTCTTACACATCACATTCAATGAATGTACATCAAATTCATCAAAGATATATAATAAAAATTTCAGAAATAATATTTTTCATGAACTCAAAATTCAATCTGAATCAAATTGTGCAAATAATACAAATTAAGTTCAAATTATTATTTTTTGAAAGCACAGTTTAATTCTTGAATTTTATCTCCAAAATACTTCGAACCATTTAGAAATATGTGCTATATACATATCACTTTCTCTTTTCACATCTAGGTGTGGGATCCAACCTCGGTTCATCCTTTGAAGGAGTAAAATGACCATTTTGCCCTTGGTGTCCTCGGGTTTGGGTCGTTACAGTCCGCATGTCGCTACAATAAAACCAAACTTTCTAACTTTTGATAGGCTTATCCCGAAAAGTGATACAATAGCTTTTATTTTATTTTATTATATTTTTTCTACTAAAAAATGAATTTTTGCTAAACTATCATTCACTAGTACAATTTTTTATTTTTTTAAAAAAAGGGAAAATACGAATATGGTATCCATTAATATAATTTTAATTTTAATTTAATAATATAAGGAAGTCTTTTTGAATAAATTACACTCCCTAGAAATATTATTGAATGACTATTAGGAATTCTTTCTTTAGCCGCCGAATTTTGACCCAGCTACGCTTTCCACATAGTGTCTCCCATCTTATATTCAGTTGAATCTATTTATATTTTAATTGATCTTTATTTGCATATAATTTATGTGAGTCGTACGCAGCGGAATGTACTTAGGAAAGTTTTAGATTTTGTAAAACAGATATGTGTCGTAACCAACTTTACTTATTTTAGCAATTAAATAGTTAATCATATGCAGATAAAATAAAGCAAAGTATAAAGTTAGAGATGACACCCGAATTTTAGCGAGGAAACCCCAGTTGATAAAATACGTCAACTGTTGTAGGAAAA